TGTTTGTACAAGTAAGAGTTTGAACTAAAACAAAAGGTAAGAGAAGCAGTCCAGAATTTGGTCCCAAAGCAATGTCCTCTGCCATATTTCATTCTGCATCCACACTTAACTGGTAGGTGCTATACTATACCTGTGTCCTCTTCAGCAAATGCAAACTCACTACACTTGTAAAGGACAAAGAGCTTTGCACTCAGGCTTAATGCAAGACACAACAGAAAAATGAGGGGGAAACTGGTTTTCCTAGACTTCTTTGGATTATGCCTTTTTTTATCCCCAAAATTGAAAACAACTGGAAATACTTAGGAAATTCAGGAGATTTAGGGGTTGTTTATAAAGAAAATGAAAACAACTGATCCAAATGCCTCTATATTTTAAAGCTCCAAGGTAAAGGCATATTAAAAATAACCAGGTCCTCTAGTTTCTATTGCCTAAAGAAAACTTAAATCTAAAATAATTGTTTTTTAAAATTGATTTCCTTTAACATGTGTACAAGATTAAGTGGTTACAAATAGAAATGCTAGATATTCTGAAATATTTATGGCAAATATCTGAGTTGCTTATTCTGGCAGCTTCCATAAGAAGGGATCATTATGGTATCTACAATTTTTTTCTCCCAGAGAAACAGCAGGAAAAAAGAGTAAGAAAAAAAAAACAGGATAAAATGAATTCAGGGTAAATTGCAGCACATACCTCTGCTTCCGTTCCCTGGTAAAGAAAAGCCATTGTATGCATGCTACAAGACTAATCTAAACTTCTTTTCCAAACAATGTACTTAAATGAGCAACTGAAATAAGTGGGTGCAATTCTTAATATTTTATGTTTGCAATGGAGCAATATCTGGTTCATACTTTTTTTTCTCCCCCCTCCCCCCCATTTAATAAGGATTTCTTTATCTTCAGGATTATAAAGCACAGCCACATGCCCTCTAGTGAGCTACACAACAACTGCATCTTGGTAGGTGGAGAGTGGTCACCTCATTTAAAAGATGCCTCTTTACACTACCATGTGCTGTTTTTTTTCACAAAGGTACTTGTCATGTTTTATACTCAAGCCTTCTGCATCTTCTAGTTTTCTGAGAGTTCCTTTTCTCAGTCCAGGAAATTAAATGTTCTGAATTAGGGAATAGAAATACTTAGTCCAGTGACCAGCATTTAAAGCAAAGCTAGACTTGGAAACTACAGAAGCCGTGTTGCTTCAGCTAAGTATCAAAGGCACAGTGTATGAAGAACATTTTCCTAAGAGTTTTCATATTTCCTTGGGAAAATAAGAGAATTCTAACCTAATAAATAAATGACCAGAAGCCGTAAGAAATGTACTAATATACACAGTATCATTATGGCTTGGACGTGCTCTTCCCTGTTTTGGAAAGAATCTCTCCTTCCTTACACACCATTGAGTAAAGTGGACCAAGGCACATCTCTGAATGCCTTCCAGCATGAGGACCTGGAGAAGGATCTTGTCTATCATTTCCTTTTAGGAGGGCTCATCTGTCCCCTCTTAGGCAGTAGCTATTTGGAAATGGAGCCCTACTGGTGTTGATGAAATTGTGCTTGCAGCAAGCAGGTTTGTCCCATGCTAACATTTGACGGAAGGATACTCAGTCACCATCTTCAGGGGGCTCTCAGATACGTGCAGATATTTCACAGGTCACATGTGCCTCCTATGCCACAGACTGGCAGCTCCCCTTCAAGCCATGCTCTTTTCTAGAGAGATAATTCAGCTCTTAGCCAGCAGCTGCACCACTCACATGAGCAAAGTTTAACATGTGCTTGAAACTTTACAGGATTGGATTAAAATACAAGGTTACCCAAAGTTTACTGCAGTTTCTTTTTTGCTCATTTGTGCCCCTGCAATGCATCATTACCCACATGCTTAAAGAGTCTTACTCTGTCATAATCCATAATATTTGGCCTGATGCTAGTAAAGCATATGAAAAGAATAAGAACTGCTGTTGCCACTGCCAATAGTAATAATGAAGTATCCTATTCTCATGATACAAATTAGAAATGCACGGAACATGGGATTCCTATTTTGTGATTATCATGCTCCATAATTAATAAAAATAGCAGTACAGTTATACCAAAAGCAGCAACAAATAAAAAGATAGAAGGAAATTTCAAATTAATCCTGTTTCTCTAGATATGCTCAAAAATTATGTAATACATCAGAAAAATGAACTTCTGACTTACAGATTATATATTACATTTGGAATCCCAGTCTCATCTGAAAAGCATAAAATGCCTTTTTGAAATGTTTATTTAATTTTTCTTGTGACAAATGAGGAACTGTTGTATCCAGTTATGCAACACAAGTAACTGTCACTCCCTCCTTTGCCATTTTACTAGATTCATACCAAAAAGCAGCATAGCAAATGTCTTTTCCGATTATTAGACTTTGGCATATTTTCCAGTAGTTAACTTGTGACCCATTTACCCCAAGTCCTCCTTCAGCTGTCTTAGGTTCAGCTGTGCACTTAGCAGGTGGTTTGAATGTATTTCAGTCCGACATCATGGGCTCACCAACCCAAAGAGATGCATCAGTCCTAAAATCCCCTTTCCACAGGGAATATCCGCAGATTATAAATATTATTTTAATATGAGTCTATATCTTTTATGTAAGAGTTTACTTAGAGGTTACTATTGCTGTCTGAAAGTCTTGTCATCCCAACTGGAGTAGGAGCTGGAATGTCTCCATGTTGGGCAACAATAAATGTACTTCATATGAAGATGTTTATCTGGATGCAGCAAGGCAGTTATTCCAGGGGAAATTATGGCTGACAGCATAAAAAAGTCTGGTTAGTAATCCAAGTGACATCTTGGGATATGTAAAAGATTAAGTAACAATGTCTGGAATGGACTAGATCAAGACAAATCCAAGTTCAATGGGAACTTAAGCAACTAAAAGAGCACTAAATAATCTGAGGAATCCATCTAAAGATTCAAGATGAAAACAACCCCATTCCTTTGCTTATATTCCCTTGGTCTGGTTCACAGTTTTGTTGTTGATGGATGCCTATCTCTTTAGTCAATGTCTAGCCTGTCTCTTTAGGCAATACTTTATAGCAATAAGACACGTTATTTATATGAATAAAATTTGCTAGCAACAAAGTCTGATCCTTACCAAATATGGTCTCCTTTCTTGGTTCCATCATGGTTCATAACCAAAGGGGTAAAAACCCACGAAGTTTTACTGTTCATATTAGGAGCCTTCATGAGACAGGAATGTTTATTTACAAAGCTTTCACCCAAAAGCAGAGATCAGAATGTATTCAGGGGAAACTACAACTATGTTTATACCTGATAGGAAACAAAAGCTTCTCTCATGTATTAAAAATGGTCTATTAAATTTTCCTATCTACCATATCTCCCTACTAAACTAGAAAGTTCATGATCCTGAGGTAACTCAGGGACTTGGAAATCTTCTCAAGAGAGCATTCACCTGATGTTTTCACACATAATTTTCACAAATACCTATTTATTTTTAATATCAGTTTTGTTGTTTCACCTTCCTATCTAAGCAAGAAGCAGGATTTCGGAATTTGACACTACCTGCCTATTAAATTTGTGTGAAAATGTTATTTCCACACTTAAAATTTCACTTAAACCTGCAACCTGTTACCTGATAGACAACATAATAAGGCAAAATAATACATTTATTAACTGCTAAATAACACAGCCCAACAACTACCATTCATCCCTCCCCATCTGAAACCTTGTATCCTAGCCCTTCTCATTAATTCAATATTTAGTTATGTTCTAGAACCATCTCCCCACAGTTGTAAAACACTTATGGGGATGATAATTAAAGCAACCTGAGCCTATTAAGCATAATCAACTTGGTAACTGAGATAACTCAGTCTCAGCTTCTAAAATAAACAAGCCAGGCATTTGTATTTGGAATCCCAGTAGAAGACATGACTTACAGCTCATCCTCTCCTCCCAAGAAGACTAAGTTATGTTACTCCCTCTGTTCAATCTATATATAATTTAACTGCTTGAAGGTAAATAGGAGCTTGAGGGTCTTATGGACATCACCTGGTCCATAAAAGAGACATTTTTGTGAGCAATGTTAGACCATTTGTCTCCTCTACCAGCTGTTTCAAGAACTGTTGTGCCAGTTACAGATGATGCTGGCACAGGCTTACATGGTGCCCTCTAGATATGAGAGATCATAAGAACAGTTCCTGTGCATTTCCATGTTATGTCCCAATAGCATTCCTGTCTTATGGTGTAGGGCAGGAAAATCTCTGAAAACACCCTCCCAGGCAATAAAGGATAATGAAAAGTGCTTCAAAAGAAGTTAAGCAGAGCTCTGAAGACGGAACAAGAAAGCAGTCTCCATACACAAAACTTGCACTGTGTCATAAATCTAATACATGTCTCTCATTCTGACTGAACTGCCATGCTCTTGCTCTAATGAAGTACAAGGCAAATGTATTGTACCCACCTTCACTAAAGCCAGCAATAAAGCTCTGTGTGTGTCTCTGTGCAGCATCAAAACATTTCACATTATTGTTTTAAATAGCAAGAGGACTGCAAGGAAAGACGTCTGTATTTTCTTAATAGCTGTAACCACAGTACATAGCACATGTCAAAATTTTGAAAAGAGAACAGATTCCCAACGCTTTGTACAATGTATATGGTTTCTTTGCTTTGATGTCTTTGCTTCTTTATTGTATTAAATTATCTGGATTTAAAAAAAGAAAAAAAAAAAGAAGGTTGTCTTTTGTCTTGTTACTGAACTGTCAAACATTATTTGAGCTAAGAAAGCAGCCAGGGCCTCCATAACAGTTTTGGGGAGGGGAGGAAGGAAAAAGGAAAATTGTTAAGTATCCTGCCTATTTGCATAGTTAGGTATTTCAGCCATGAGGACTGCAGTGGGATGGCATTGTTCTAAGAGTTACTATGACTTTTAAAACCCACATGAAAAGGTATCTATCCTATCACTCCTTAAGGAAGTCCTGCATCCCTTCACACCACCATTGTCTGCAATTCTCCTACCTGTCTCACATTTCCCAGAGGAACAGGATGGAGGATGATTTCTGTCTCTGGACACTGCTTTGTGGATGCAAGTTGTATTTCTTGCACGCTTTTTCTTCTAACAAACAAGCATGACAGAGAGAAAAGATCAATTTCTCTTTTTTTAATATCTAGGCAAAAATGCCTGCCAACAGAAATTATATTGCTCTGCTGATGCTTTTTTCTTTACCTGGAGCATCCTTGAAATCAGTACCAGCTGTTGCACAGAAGGGTTTTGGTGCCCTTAACAGAGATTTATAACTTTAGGAGAAGGAATAAGTGAGAGGAGCACAGAAACCTCATAGAGAAAGTATTTTGCTGCCATGGCATAGAGCTGTACATCAAATAGACCTGTCTCTGCATAGGAACTGAAAAAGACCTCCTTCAAATCACTCAGCAACTGTAGAACTGGATAAAAAGTGTGGCCCTTTGAAGTCAAAGGCAAAACTCCAGGTGACTTTAGGCTGGCCACAGTTCCAGCTTTGAACTCAAATTTGAATGCAAATTTCACAAATCACCAGGCATAATCTGATTCAGATTCTTATAAAATAATCACAGCACTGGAGCAGAAGTCTCCCCGGTCCTTTGCTCTGGCTTATTTAATGGGAGTTTCCAACGCTCTGCTTGTTACACAGCTCAGTACAGGCACACATTTCAGCCTGTAACCCTGAAAATAGAGTCAGCTTTCATTGAAATGAGTGTTTCTGTAAAAACAGTCCCTAAAGTTTACATTAACAGATCTGGGATCTGCCGGTCTGGCTTGAGATCCTCTAGGCCCTGGATACCCACAAATCTCTGTCTATAACATCAGAAATGTTCAAATGCTAGCAGATTGTGATAAATTTCCATTTTGAGGTCACAAGAGGGAGAATTAAGAGTTTAAATGGAAAAATGTTAGTGGAAGTGACGTGAACTTACTTGTCTGCAATTGATCATGTTAAATAAATGTTGACCATATATTTCTTGATCTAGACCCAATGGCTAATACAAGCAGGAAAAAATGCATGCTTCTCCACCCTCCTTGTGCTGCTTCTGAGCCATAAACAAAGTCTGACAAAGAGAGGAAATGAAGAAGGTCAATATTTAGTTCTGTCATACAAGCAAAGCACAGGCTGCAGGCAAGAGTGCAAATTTGCATTGCAGGGTAAATGAGTTCCCAGAGGGCTCCATGCAGCAGTGGTTGGACCACTTATAGCTGAGGTCCAACTGCTGCTCTCATAGCTGCTGCTCTCCTTAGTGCACACAAAATATGCATTTGTTTTGTAGTTTCTTATGTAAAATCATTGATATGTAAAACAAATGGAGATAGAAGGATGATCAGTAGACACATAACATCCAGAAAGCTGTAGTACTTCTCCCCTTTAATACCAATACTTAGAAAATTCTCATTTAAGACAAAGTATTCACACATAAAGACTGATAGGAATGCAGACCAATTTCATGTTTTACATACTCTGTATTAAAGTCCACAAGGACAGTAGCCAGGTCATTACTAACCCTAGGAAAATAGTTCAGGTGGCACGTGAGATAGGGCAAGTCCCTGAATACTGGTGGGGCAGAGTAGGAACAAGGAAATTGGCTTTGCCAGCTCAGCCACCATGCTATAGACCTGTACACTGAAGCTCCAGTCCCAGCTTATCAATTTTTAGCATCAGGGCCAATTTAGGCAACTCCTTTCTCGTGCTCCCTTCTTCCCACGCTATCTTTCAGCTGAGCTGGTTCAGCTTTCTATAGGACCATGCGAAAAAACAGGAAAAGAAAATAATTTTAAACAAACACAAATGGTTAGGCATGTTTACAAAAATAATCTTACACAAATGAAAGCGGAAAAACAGTTGTTTTAGGCCAGGGCTGGCCAATGTTGTCATTTGCCATGCCACATGACAGCAGCATGTCTTTGCCACCCAAGACAAGCATCAGCAGGACTGGGGGCCAGCACAGGAGTAGAAGAAACTGCTGGAGTCAGGTCAAGAAATGCGTCGTAAAGAGAAGGCTGCCAGTGATCACAGGCTCTCAGCCAGGTTAATGCTTGTTACCATTGATAAATCAAGTCCCATGAATACCACTGTAAGCAGATAGACAAGAATGCCAGAACTGACAATATCTGAGTGCTATAATTTGCCAACAGAAAGCACACTAATTTTTTTTTTCTTTGATGCTAAATTAAAATTGCTTGACTAGACTTCTAACAAGGCAAACAATTACATAAACTCTTTTATCAAGAAGCATACTTAAACAGAGGCTTGAAAAAATGGTGCAGGTTTCTTTTAATATTGTTTAAAATGCTTTCCCTTTTGAATTGCAGAATTTACCTCTGACACCTCTCCAACCTCATGTAGAAGAGTCTGGTTTTATGTTTATGGCTAACATTTAAGAGGTCTTGACTTTATTTGTTATTGGAATGAAGTTACCAATACATTCATTCACATGAGGAAGTCACATAAATACTGCCTTGTAACTTCACATGTAACTTCATCCTAACAGAGGCACTTGAGGTTTAACAAGCATTTTATTTGCCATGAAAAATTGAAAAATAGTGTATGGCAGCTTACGCAGAGCATTTTAGTCTCCTGAAGATACATGTGACATCATCATGTGACTCTCAGCTAAAGCAAAAACCAATGAAGTCAGCAGTTATCATAAAATACACAGAATTTCCTGAGTTGAAGGAGATCTACAAGGATCATAGAGTCCAAGACTGCACAGCACAGCCCCAAAAATCACAGCATGTTTCTCAAAGCCTTGTCCAAATGCTTTGTGAGCTCGGACAGGCCTGGTGCTCAACCAATTCATGGTACATCATTGCAATGACATGAAGCTGAGTTCACAGCAGCAGTGTTCAGCATTTAAAATCAACTCTTAACAAAAGAAATTGCTGAATTGAATGTTTTTCTGTTGCTATACTTAGTAGATGGACACAACAGCCATGGGGAAATTCCAAGCTGCAAAATCACCCTTGGTGGTTTTGGCATCAGCCACATCCTGCTCCAAGGTATAGGATGGAAGCTGAGTGCTCTTGTAGTGAGGGAAGCAGAACACAGCTGGAGAACAAACCACCTTTTCTCACAGCGAGGAGGAATACCAGCAGGGATACCACATGGCATGTTCCAGACTGCATGTAGGTAAACTGGTGGGGTTTTAACATACAAAAAGAAAAACAGGACAGCAGATGCCTCTGTAATTTCAAATATCAGAAAAGCAACCAAAACTGAGTATTTGTCTCATGATTTGAGAAATTGCGACACTTGCAATACCAGAAATTTTGCCCAGAGCTTATGTAGGGATGTACGCAACTGTGGGAGCTCAGCCCTTGAGGAATCAGAGGTAAAATGCCTGAGCCATCATTTTAACCAAACAAAGCAACACATGGCATGTTCCCTTCCTACAATCACTCCCCAAAACTCAGTAACCTCAAAGTCCCATACTCTAGCATCATGAGAAGGGAAATAAGAAAATCTGGTTTTAACTCTCAGAAATGTCCTAGGTTTCAAGTGCTGCCTCATGTTTAATACCTGAGACAAGGAAAATCATTACTGAACCAGCATCATTTAAAGAAACCTCTCACATCTTTCACTTGAAATGAGCCAGCAGTGCCCTTGTGGCCAGGAGGGATGATGGTATCCTAGGGTGCACCAGGAAGCCTGTGGCCAGCAGGTCAAGGTAGGTGATCCTTCTCCTTCACTCAGTCCTGGTGAGGAACATCTGGAGTGCTGTGTCCAGCTCTGGGCTCCTGAGTAGAAGAGAGGACAGGAGATCCTGGATCAGGTCCAGTGGAGGACGACAGAGAGATCTGGGATCTGAAGCATCTCTCTTATGAGGAGAGACTGTGGGAGCTGCACCTTTTTTGGAGCCCAGATTTGGGGTCTGGAGAAAAGAAGACTGTGTGGGGATCTCATCAATATTTATAAGTATCTCAAGGGAAGGTGCCAAGAGGATGGTGCCAGACTCTTTTCAGTGGTTCGCAATGAAAAGACAAAGAGAAATGGCCACAAACTAAAATGCAAGGAATTTCACCTCAACATGAGGACAAACTCCTTTACATTGAGGATGGCAGAGCACTGGAACAGGCTGCCCAGGAAGGAAGTGGAGTCCCTCTCTGGAGACATTCAAAACCCACCCAGCCATGTTCCTGTGTCACCTGCTCCAAGTGCCGCTGCTTTGGCAGAGGTTAGACTAGATGATATCCAGAGTTCCTTTCCTAACAATTCTGTGATTGTGTTTTTTTTTTTTAACAGAAAGCACACAGCATATTTGGAAGTAAGATCTCTGTAGGGTAAATGTTTATTCTGTTACTGCTCAATCACTTCCACTCCCATTGTTCACGCTCTGCAACCCTCTTCAATAAATAGTTCCATCACATATGTATAAATGTATATAATATAAATATATATAAATGTATATATATATAAATAAATATAAATGTATAAAATGTATGCATTCTTTTTTAAAGGGAAGGAAGAACAGACATCACAGTATGAAGAATGCACATTGAAGTCTTTCCTATTTTTTAAGACATTCCCACCTTTACTTTGTCTTTCTTACCTATTTGGTTCTTCCTGCAGTTGTACTCTTTGAAACAGTGTTAATGTTCTGACTCGTTTGTGCTCCTTCCATTCCATTCCATTCCATTCCATTCCATTCCATTCCATTCCATTCCATTCCATTTCTACTGCACAACACATCTCTTGGGGATTGCTTAACTCTTACTTGGGGTTAGAGCTACCTTACCTCCAGCATTCTCCTCTATCTTGCTCTGAGCTTCCATCTCTTAATGGAACTGTGTTTACGTGCAGCATGATGGATAAACTGGCATGAAACATGAATGCCAACGTGACAAACTTTCCTTCAGAAAGCAAAGACTGTCTTTGTACCATATAAATTAAAATCTAATGCTTGGAACACCTTTAGCAATAACATGCACAGCAGCTATACAGGAGCTCTGCCACAAGAAGAGGGCATCAAACCCTAGATTGCTTGGATTTCTGACTAGCATGGCAGATTTCATTTAATCAAAAAATTCAAATGTACACTTCAGATTTAGTTCAGCATAACCTTTCAGATCCGCTTGTGAATGTCACATTCTGAAACCAAGGTATTTCTATAAAGTTAGGACTCAACAGCTGAGTGTAGAGATGTTTTCAATTATAACATTGAGTCCAGCAGTTTAAAGCCAAGACTCCTAATTTACAACAGTACTTGTTAATTTACAACACTGAGCTTGTATAACGTTTAAGTAAACACTGCACTTCTGGATGACAGAAAGCTAAACAATGAAATAAAACTTCAGAAACATATCTACTCCTGCAGTTTTCAAAGAGCTTCCAGTTCTCCAAAAACAAACAGCTCCCAGCTGCCTGACATTTATACTCATGCACCCTGTACTGCTACATATGTAGAGAGAAAGGGAGCAGCAACCTAAATGCTTTTCATTCAGAAGATCCATCAAATCAAATTTTAAGGTAAATTCTGCTTTCATCCAGTGTATTTAATTTTGTTTTGTAAAGGGAGGGATATGTCAAGAAGAAAATAAACACCAAGTATAATCACGAAACATACTTTAATTTTACTACTGAATAGCTAACTCAGTCCTCAATTCTTTGTTCTAATTAAGCTAAATCCTTGACTTTCTAACAAGCATTCCATAGACAGCCCCCTCACATTTCAGCCTTCTGTGGCTGAAACAAGTCAAATTGCAAGCTCTTCTTCCTAACCATCCATTGCCTCAACTCTTTTCCCACTAAAATGATAAAAAAAATTTCAGCTACCCAACTTTTTTCTTCTCTAAAATGCCACTCTCCTCTTCTGACTCTTGCCAACTTCTCAATACTAGGGCTAATCAAGAAAGTAGAAGCTGTTAATAATGTCAGTTTTCCAGAAAAAATATCTTCAATGTATTTTTCTAAAAGCCCACAATAAATTAGAATGGAAACAGAGTATTTTTCATTGAGTTATTGCAACTGTTGCAAGAGGCCTACTCTTCATTTAAAACAAATATTGAACTGAAAACCTTATTTTTTACAAACCCATCCCAAAAGCCTGCTGTTCAAAAAGCTCTACAGATGATCCCCTTTAAGATCCTACTTGGTTTTCCACTCAAGTCTATAAAATCAGAGCTTTCAGAACTTTTGAGCTTTATCCTCAAATAAAGTGGTTTGGAGAACATTTCAATATGGAAGCCCTCGAAGGGGTAAGAATGCAGAAAATGTGTTTCACAACAGTCTTCCATGGTACAGAGTATGAAGAAAGGACTTAGAGACTGGAAAAACTGAGGCATGTTCAAAGAAGCTGAGAGCCTGAGGGCAGGTTTTGCAAAGCCTAAATAATGACTTGAATAGCACTGGTGAGCCACGGAATAGGACCAAGAGCATCAAAGGCCTCTTAGGGAGAAATGGGACAGGACAGTGGCTTCACAACGGTTTTGTGAATATGCACTGCTCAGGATCTATAATACCATAACTAATTAAAAAGGGTTTAATAGACATTATTCTCTGGGGTGGTGGGAGGGTGTGTCATGTTACCAACAACATTTTGTCCTTTGGGAATATTCTGCATATTTTCAAACAGAAATTTGAGTAACAGCCTAGGAAAATGCCCTCTAGACTCACTGCCAGGTCTCTGGAGCAATCTAGCTAGAAACATATACAGCCTCATCCAGAGAAAGGGCAAGATCAACAATTCCCTGTCAAATTAATGAGATTTTGAGTATTCAGCCTCCCACAACTGGCTAAGCCCTTTATGGAGCAGTAATTGCAGAAATTTCGCTAACTTGGGTGGGGAGAGAAACTTGGGATTGGCAACCGGAATAGTACCCTGTCCAGATGCCCACTCAGCTACTGTCTGAAGACAGAAATCTTGACAGTAATTGCATGTTTATTTTTGAAGAGAAAATTCCCAAAGACCCCAGTGGGATTATGCCTTTGTTAGCAAGGACTTCAGCCTCTGAATTATTACTGATTATTATTACTGATAAAACATTCAAAAAATAACAGGGATACTCTCCAGCAAGAGAGCAAGACCAAGTATCACAAGTACAGCTTTAAATTTAACATGACAAATTCCTACCAAAACAAACAAACAGACAAAGACCATAACCCAGAAGCATGAAAGGTAGAATATTACCACATCACAATACTTGAACAGGAATAAAAAGCAAGCACCAAGAGCTAAAAGAACTGCTATGAGACAGGAAGTTTGAAGCAGAAGGCTTAAGCGTGAAAAAGGAAGGGTGCAATGCTACTAAGTGTAAATGTTAGTATTTTACAGATATAGATTAATCAGACATGAATCCATGGCACATAAAGCAATCTTCTCTCCTGTAACAGGACACATGCCTAGTGGAGATGCAGTAGATGTCATCCAGTTTTTAGCACAGTAAGTCTTTTAATATTGTCTTCCTTGACATTTTCATAAGCCACCAGGACAGACAGACTAGAAGAAGCACTGTATTCAAGGAGTTCTTATTAGCAGCTCACTAACTGGAAATATGCACAAACATATATGTGTGTGTGTGTAATGCAGCCAAGGAACCTGTCCTCAGTTAGGTATTTCCAGTGTTTTTACTAACGGCTTGATTTATAACTTTATTCAATGAATTAAATAAATGCTCCGAGTGGAAAAGAGCTACAAAGACAATGAAGACAACAACTAGTTTTCATAACAATGCTGATAATGTTGAGAAATATTCCTGTTTAAAAAGAAAACCGAAAATCCACCCAGGGTTGTGACTGAAGAGTGGAAAAGGCATAATAGTAAATAAATATATTTTCTTTTATTTGGCAGAAATAGAAAGCACATGAAAGAGCATACAGCTGATAAAGTCTACCCTCAGTTAGACAACAAAGCAAGGAGCCTAAAAAAAATTGCCTGGAAAATTTATCATCTTCTTAATTAGTGAGAAATTATAACAACACATGGGGCTTCAAGCAGTACTGGAGCAACACAAATGTGCATGTATGAATGACAGCGAAAATTAAAGAGAGAAAGAGGCATGAAACATATTTGTGTTGTCCTTCTTGCCTCGTTTTCACGCCCGTTATTATGTCCTGTAAGCTCAGGAAGAAACTGCATCATCCAGTTCCTTGTATTCCCTTGTGCTCCCAGGGTTGACCCAAGGTCACACAAAAGAGGGTGGTGTCGCTGAAGGGCTGGGAACAGCTGATATAACATTGTGTAGGGATGCCACTAGCAAAACAGAGAAGAGGCTCAGTATGCAAGCGTGGCACAGCAAATTCCACCACTCCTACCTCCTGCAGGGAACAGCATTTCCATCAGCCCAGCCTCTCTCCTCACTTGCCCTCCCTTGGGCTCCAAACACACTGCCAGTATGCATATTCCACATTCCTCTGGCATATAAAAGAGATATTAATACATTCCTAGCATGGCATTCAGGGGAAATAGTATGCCCAAGAGATGCAATTATACTTCCAAGCTCTCTCAAAGTGAATTACAGTTCATCACTATCAGGAGATAGAGGCAACACGTAGGAAGAAACACTGACAGGGAATAAAGACAAGGTGTGGCTCATGAAACAGAAATTGAGACTATCTTGTTTGAATGGCTGGTTTTAATTTACACCTCCTGAAAGCACCAATAAGCTTTGGAGATATGCACCAGTGCTAAATCCTGGGGATTTCAATGGGGCTGCAAGAGTCTATGACTTGCTCAGGCTGCATGATCAGAGATAAAAGGACCCCTAAGTGTCTGCTTGGATCAAGAACCTGTGGATGTTTA